AGAATCTACAAAGAATAAAATTATTGCGCAAAGAACATTGCAGTTATTCAGAGAAAAAGAGAGGGTAAAAAATTTAGTTAGGATAAAAGAAATTCGACAAGAAAATATAGATAGAGAATCGGAGAAGATTAAAAATAAAAAAAGGATGAAAGTTAAACGTTCATATGCTTTATACAAACATAACGAGGCGGAAAAAATGTCAAAAAAATTATTTTCAAAAGAAAAGAAAAATTTCAATACAACTAAAAAACTAAAAAATAGAAAAAAATGCGAGTTAGGCGCACGTTACCTGAAGAAAAAGACTACAACGAAAAAAAAAGAATTTCAGATAGACATTGAAAGTCTAATTTGACTTGACGATTTTTTAAGATTTCGTGAAAATTTCAGCAATTTTGTTCATAATAAGATTAAAAGTGGCATCCATGATAATGAATATTATCAAAATTTATTAATTATGAAAGTTTTAAAAAACAGAAAACAAGGACCAGATATAGTTTGTTTATGTTGTAAAAATTTGTTTTTCAAAAAGTTAGTTGAACGAATTAGTTTTACTAAATTACGAAAAAAGTTATCTAAAAAAAATTTTGCGCTTAATAAATTTATTAAACAAATACAAAATAATTCGTCGGAATATGTCTGTAAGAATTGTAAAAAATACATTACAGCAGGAGAAGTACCAAAAACAGCATCAAATGCAGATTTAAGTTATTCAAATGTACCAAAAGAGGTGACCAACTTGACCGCCCTAGAAGAACGAATGGTTTCACCCTATATACCGTTTATGCTTATGCAAATTAAAGCATTGCAACCGTATGCAATTAATCCCCAATTATCTCTGAAAGGAAGTATAGTTAATCTTCAAGTTGAAATTAATGAGATGGTAAATGTTTTATCAAGAACTTTTGACAAAATGTCGACAATACAAATAAAGCTGAAAAGGCACATGGAACATAAGTCAGATTACATGTATGAAACTATTAAACCAGCAAAAATATGTGAAGCTTTGGAGTACTTAATACAAATGCCATTATGTATAAAAAACAATATAAACATTGACGAGGATTTTTTTTTAATATAACAAAAATTTCAAAACAAATTTGCAATTTATTGTCGATAATAATGATAAATGCGAAAGCACCTTTAATATAAAACCCAATGTTTTTGTTAAAGACGAAAATAAGTCGGATTCGGACGAATCTGATTATTACGAACCAAATGATCAAGTACTTATTGTAGATAGAAACAAAAAAATATTTTCCAATGTTCAAATTATAGCTCCAGGACAAGACAAATATCTTGTCCCATGGCACATGACAGAAAATATCGATGAATTGTGTTTTCCCAAAATTTTTGGTAGAAAAATTTTAGATAAGAAAAATAAATTAACCTACTCTGAAAGAATCAAATTTGAAGCAAGGCACAGAGATAGAAGATCTTATCATCCTACAAGAATTTTATTTATGGCTAAACAGAAATTGGAAAAGTCAATAATGTCAAATATAAATATTTGTTTAAGGAGAGTAAAAAGAAAATAATAACCTAACAGCTGATAAAATTAAAGATACGAATTTTATAAACGATTTTATACGTCATAACGATGGGTACCTGAAACAGGTAAGATCATCACCATCTTATTGAAAAAGCAAGAAAAAACGTTTAATGAGTATGATAAGACAATGTGGTGTCACATTTTTTCTGACACTATCCGCATGTGAACTAAAAAACACTGATTTATTGAAAATTTTATACAAATTAAGTGAAAATAAAACCATTAAAACATATGATGCAATACATATGGACATTGCAGAGAAACAAAGTTGATAAGAGAGGATCCTGTTACATGTGTCAGATACATTGAAGAAAGATTCAATTTGATTATGTCAATACTCCAAAATAAATATGGCCCATTTGGAGAAAACAATGTGGTTGATTTTTTTTAGAGACGTGAATTTCAAGCCAGAGGTAGTGTCGATACGCATAATCTTTTATTTTGCAAAAATGCAACCATTTGTGACGAAGAAAATGAAGAACAGAATAAAAAATTAGTAGAGTGGATTGATAAAAACATTACATGTGCATACGATGATGAAAATCTTTTGATACGTCTACAAATTCATCGGCATAAACCAACTTGTTACAAAAAACGTAAAAATAAATCTATATGTTGATTCAATATTCCAATGTTTGTAATGAGAGAAACAAAGATTCTAAAACCATTAGCTGAAAATGAATTGACAAAAAATGATAAAACAAATAGAAAAAAAATTAGAGACTTGATGCAAAATTTTTTCAAAAAAAATATACAAGTATCATTCAAAGAGATGTTGGAACAATTAGAAATGAGTGAAAGTGATTATATTCACACAATTCGAAGCACGTTATCTAGAACTAAAATTTTCTTAAAAAAAAATAGTGTGGCGGTCAACTGTCCGCCACGTGCGCGCGACCGTACATACGCTACACGAATAGTATGACGGGAGGCGCGCGGCGCGCAGCATGAGTATCGATCGGCGGGATAGTTCGGCGCGCACCGCTGCGCGGCGTATCTCTCTCGTAAGTAAGGTTCGACATCGATCCCTATATAAAGGGCAGCTCAGCGGGGCCTCCCCAGCGATCTTCGAGAACGCCAGTCAGGGCGTGCTACCTACCGGGGCCCCAGACATAATTCTCTTTTGATACGAAGCGTTGCTCTACTCTGGGCCTTCGTAAATACCTGCTTGGCAGGGCGTTATCTACGGTAAAGAGTCAACCGACACCCTGCCGCGGAAAGGTTTCCGGGGTCGTCGTGACCCAGCCCGTCGGGCGACTCCATATCCGGTGGAGACCAAGGCGCTGCCTTCTCTTAATACGGCTCCTGCTCTTGAGATCAAGACGCTGCCTCCTCTGACTACGGCCTCGGCTCCGGCTCCTGTTCCCGTGACCAAGACGAAGGATCGCATCCTGATCATCAAGGTAGAAACTCTACCTCCTGGGAAACGTATCCTGCAGAACAAGTCCAAGACGAAGTGGAGATTCACCCCGATTGCCAAGTGGGGTCATACTGACCCAACAACACTGAAATCGGTGGAAATCAAATCATCATCCATTCCAAGTCCGACTCCAGTCCTACCGAGCCATACACCAGCTCCTGTTCCTGAGGCTACGACGCGGGATCCGATCCTAACCTCCAAGGTAGAAACCTTCCTACCTTGGAAGCTCGTACCCATCTCTGTTCCGGCTTCCAAGGACATACCAGCTCCTGAGATCCAGGTGAGGGACTCTATACCAATCTCCAGGATAGAAACCTTCCTACCGTGGAAACTTTATCCGATCGAAGTTCCACCACGAGCTCCACGTGTCCGACGCCCTCTTCATCCTATTGATCTGGAGAACTCTGTGGCAACTCAAACGGACCACATTTTTAAGACGCCTACACGACTACGATTTCACCAGACCCGACTGAGTCCCATTCCGTCCACTCCGAAAGGCAAGCCTAGGACTCCCGGACGGAACCTGGTATTTCCGCGAAATATTATTTTCGTGAAGAAAAAATCAGTTATTAAACAATTATTTAAAGAACAGTAATGCATATATAACTTACACCAACACACACGACCATCTACACATTCATATAGAAGATATAATTATTTTGTACATAGAGCATGAATAAACCTAGCGAGATTATACCCAATTGAACATTTCGTTATTTGTGGGAACGACGCACCTTAACCTAATCCTAACCTACAACCCCACAAATAGTAACGAAGTAGCGATCAATGCATACAGTAAAACTATATTGACACTTCTTGAATCAAACATGGATATACAATTTGTATTAGATCCCGATAGTTGTGCTTCTTACATGATTAATTACGTAACAAAAGTAGATGCTGGACTTTCGCGTTTACTCAGAGAAGCAGCAAAAGATTTGGAAAATGACCATTTAAATATTAGACAAAAATTTAGAAAAATTGCAAACGTTTTTATAAATGGTAATACTATGTCTACACAGAAAGCAGTATATCATGTCCTAGCCCTTATGAAAATGTGCCCCTTATTGCCATTAAAAAATGCCATTGAATTCCCATTGTTCCAGACGCAATGGAAATGAAGGCATTTTTGCCAAAGATAAAAAGTTCCACACAAAATCCCATTGGTATTGTTATTGGTATTGCCATTGGTTTTGCCGTTGGTATTGCCATTAGTATTGCCATTGGTATTAACACTGGCAATACCAATGGGATTTTGTGTGGAAATTTTTATCTTTGGCAAAAATGCCTTCATTTCTATTGCGTCTGGAACAATAAGAATTCAATGGCATTTTAATAAATGGTACTATTTTGTCTTTAATATAAATGCCTTCATTTTCCATTGCCTTTGGTTCAACGGACAATCTAATAGGAGCTCTTGCCTTAGGCGACTAGCGCCTGAAAATATCTGCCTCGGTGTCCCGTAGAGGGTCTCATACATATACCAGTCCGTGCCGAACCTTGAATTTGAGAGAATGCATGAACGATGCGACGCCTAACGGCGTCGATGCTAACTGCCGGTAATACAGTTACCGCGCTGGCGTGATGATGATGCATGTACTACTGGTGGCGCGAACCGCCACATTTACCATTGACGAATTTCCATTACAATTCACACTGAACAACATTGGCTGAAGGTAGAAAAATTCCATACAAATTTCATCCTTTATGAGTCATTGGTAGTTTCCATTACGCCTGTATGGAAAAGGTTGTCATTCGAATCTTGCCATTGTGTTTCCATTCATCTTATTGCCACTCAATATTGTCCATTAACTTTTCCATATAATTCGCATTGCAACTGTAGGGCAACCATACATTCCCACTGACCGCCATTGAGCACTCAAGGGCACATTTTCATAAGGAAGGACTACCTCTTTCATTGTGCAGTAGAGCTGTAGTTTATATTAAAAAAAAAAAAATGTGAAATCTTTAATTTCTTCTTCACAAAATTATATTACCTAACTTTGTTGAGGACTGTAAGGGTGCCATTACATGGAGCGCGGAAACGCGGAAACGCGGAAACGCGGAAAGAAAGTAACTAGATTCCGCGTTTCCGTCGCTTCTTTCTATCTCATTTGAGCGGAACAGCGGAATTTATGCGTGTTTTGACTGTTTCGTGTGTGTGTGTGTGTGTGCAAAGAAGTGCAAACAGATATATAAGGAAGTGTAAAACGTTTATTATAATGAACGGCCCAGTAAGTATTTGAGTATCGAGTATTAAGTATATTATAGTATTTGTAAATTAATAATAAATTGACATAACGCTTAAATCAAATTTTAAAAAAATTAATATTAATACCTACTGAATGAAGTCATAACCTCACTTTATGTGATATAAAGATAATTAAACACTTGTATATGTTTGCAGGCTATAAAGTATGGATACTGCGGTTTCATTTTACGTGGATCATGTGGAACAATTTTAGACCATCATTGTTTTAGTGCATATGATGAAAATACTGAGGCCATAAATGTTGACGAAAATGCCGTGGCCACTATAAGTATGTTAAATAACGTTTTAGTTTAATTTACCGTATTATAATGGAAGATAATTGTAATATATATATATATATATATATATATATATATATATATATATATATATATATATATATATTACATATAAAGTTTTTCCTTGAGGGACATAATAACTTTACAAAATGGTGAATGCTATTATAAATAATTATTATTACACATTAATAAATTTTGGTTTTGACAATGTATATTTTACATATGGGATAGTGTTAAACAACTTATTAAGTACACACAAGCATTGAAATGTTGTAAAAAATTAATTATTGATCCACTAGAACAGATAATTGAGTCATTTTATGGTAATTTAAGTCATTATTATTTTTATTTATTTTAAAGGAAAAAGACATGAAACTGAAAATATACCGCATACGAAAGAAAGAGATGTACAGTCTGCACTCACACAAGATGAGTTGCTGATTGAATTAGTTCGTACCCGAAGGCCTTTGTGGGACCATTCTATTCCATTGAAAGATAGGACAAAATTAATAAAAGACAATCTTTGACAAGAAATTGTAAACATATTTGATGGTGAGATCATTCTTTAATTATTTATATAAATTATATTATTTGCATGATAAAGTAAATAATTTACGATTCTCTGTACAATATCATAGGATCTCTATCTATGGAAGAAGCAAAACAGAAATGGAAAAACCTTCGAGATCAGTATACAAAGGCTAGAAAGAAAATGCGTGGATACGTGCGAAGTGGTTCTGGGGCGGAATCTGGCCATCCATTACGTAGTTCTTTTGCTCATTGCGAAGAAATGAAATTTCTCGACGATACTCTACAGACAGCACCGTAAGTATTTATATTATCTTTCAACTGAGATTTTACAAACATTCAAATTGCGTGCAATTGAATGTCATAATTTGTAAAATTATTTTGTTTCCAGGACTGTCAGCTCCATCCAACCCCTTTTGGAAGTGAATTCATCCCATCTTGATGACAATGATATGCAAAGGAATGACATGGCTGCAGACCACTTCACTTGTGATGATTCCACGATGGACGTTGCAAGTACATCAAACGCATCATCACGAAGATCATGTTCACCGTCAGAGGCGAGAAAGAAAAGTATGCGGCAATTGTCTTTTGGTTTCATGTATTTTAGATACTCATCATGCATTATTAAGTACAGATTATTAATTAGGCATATATTATTATTTACAGAAGCAAAGATTGCACAAAGACAAGCTGATATGGAAACTAAATTTCTCAATATAATTGATGAAACGTCACGGAAGAAACGTGATGTAGTGGACAGTTATTTAGATCAGCTTGGTGACATTTTACGCCGACTACTCTATTTACGACGCAGAAATCTGCAAAGAAGAATGATGGATATTGCTATCCAAGAGGAGGATATGGAACTTACGGAGTAAGAAAATCCCTAATAAAAATATTACTTTCTTGATATATTTTTTTATTTCATGATATATATATATAAAATAAAATATTTTTTTATTTGATTCATTACATTGTACAAATTATTAAACTATAGAAATATAGATCGTCAAAACAGGCTACATACGAATATTGTGTGGCAAAAAACTTTCGAATTATATATTCACAAAATATTTTATTTACGAATACAATGCATTAAATGGAGAAACTATGTTTTAAAAGTTGTTAGTTAAAACTTTGTCCAACTGCCATGGTAGAGGATTTACATGTTCGAAATAATAAGCAAAGTTATCTCGAATTTTCAATGCTGTAGACTTTTGCGAAACATTTCTATGACTTACAGCTGTAAGTCCGGTACTTGTAATTAGGAGATTGTGTTCTTCTTCTCGCATATTAGAATACCGTCTTGCTGTAAATGGTAGATTTAATTCATTATTAATAATAAAATTATGTAAGACAACCGTTGCTTGTACAGCTTTTACAGCAGTACGTATGCATGCAACAAGAGGTCGACGATATATTCTCCATCTTGCAACCAAAAGTCCGAAAGCACATTCTACTGTTCTCCTTGCTCGACTCAGGCAATAGTTAAAAATTTTTCTGTTGATATTCAGCTGTCTACTGCGAGGGTACGGTCGCATCATATATGATCTCAGAGGAAAGGCCTCATCTCCCAATAAAACGTACGGAAAATCTGAATCCATATGATTTAGATGTGTAGGTAGAGGAATATGGAGAGCATTCGTTTCTAGTAGATGTGGTAATCCGCTGTTTTCGAAAACACCTCCGTCGCTTTGCCTTCCCTCAGCTCCAATATCCACAATAATAAAACGGTTCTTGGCATCACTTACTGCGAGCAAGTTTATGCTGTGCCTTCCTTTATAGTTGTAGTAGCATGAGCCACTACGAGGCGGTGCCTGCAAATTGAGAACCATTATTGTGATATATATATTTCTCATTTCACATATGTCATTGCATTATTAATGTGTAATATATTGAACCTGAATTATTGTAAATAAATTCATAATATACATACCTGAATTTCGACATGCTTTCCATCGATAGCGTCTATGCAGTGTGGAAATTGGCATATCAGTTCGAAATCTTTTGCAATCCTACTCCAATTTTCTTCAGTTGGATCAACCATAACCTTCTTCTGTAGAGAGAGCCAAATTGCTTCACACGTTTCCGGAATAATATGTGATAGTGTGCATTGGGCAATGCGATAAGCATATGATAGCGACATCATGCTGTCACCTGATGCCAACCAACGTATAGTCACCTCTAATCTCGTCCTAGCCGGTATTGGTTTTCGAACTGCTGTTTGTTTTTTGATCAATGGTCCAACAATCTTGAGTAACTCGTTGAAGATTGTTGATGACATTCTGAGATAGTTAAAATATTTTTCGGGATCTGTCAATTGCATCTCCACAAGTAAATTGTTGCTGTCACCTTGTGCAAGTCTTCTTTCTTCGGTAAAAATAGGTCGTACCCATATTCTTCGATTCTTTTGCTCTTCCAATTTCTTGTAACGCAAGTACAAATAATACATTGCAGTAACTTTTTTCATTGTTATTTCTGCATGTCTCATCGGTTCATCTCTTGCTTGAATAAGAAACTTCATAATAATCATTAACATGATATTTGGATCCATGATATACTTGACGGACACCACTTTTGTCGTGATCGAGCCACCTAGCCCTGCAGGACAGACGAAACGATGACGACCTGCGCATCCGCTTGTACCAAGACCCCGGCCAAGTGCTCATCCAAAGAAAGCTCGTCGCAAGTTGGCAGGAGTCACACCAACGCGATACAGAAGTGTCCCGGTCAGAACTGCTCGAATTATTCCAAGACCGGCGTCGGTAGATCGCGACGACCGCAGTCTACGTCAGAGACTGGACGTTGAGGAGGGCCAGCAACGAGGTGCAGCAGAGCTGCGTGTCCTGCCTGCCGCAGAATTTTCCCACGGAACTGGAGTCGACACTTCACACGTCGAGTCTTTCACACGTGCCACTAGCCTGTACCAGGAGCTTCACGGCTAAAAGCATGAACTACGCGCCGAACAAGCACCAGGTGGAGAAGTTCGTCAACGACACGTTCGAGATGCCCGGCCACGAGTTCGAGGACTGGGACCCGGCTGACTGGACGGCCACTCCCAAGTTCCTGCAGAACATCGAGGACGACGAGCTGCGGAAGTTCGGCTCCAATCTCAATCACATCTGGAAGCTGCTGGGCAGGAAGATGCGAGACGACGTGAGGATCAACGAGCAGCTCTACTCGATCATCTACGTGCCGCATCCGGTGATCGTGCCCGACTTGCGGAAGGGCACTTATGCGCTTGTTCTACCGAATAGTTTATACCAATTAAATCACTTTTCCAACTTTACGGAGAAATGTCTACAATATTCTAAATATATTATAAATATATTATATATTATAAACATATTGTAAAAATACATAACCTACCTGAGGTATCTGAGTGCAAAGGTACAGAGAAAAGGAACGAATATTTGACGCGCTCGTTCCGCAAGTTTATTTCTCCTTATATTACATGGAGCACAATCTGCGCGGAAAAGCGGAACAATCTGGTAATAACTGGACATTTATATTCCTTTATTAAATGTGTGTTGACTTAATTCATTGCAATTTGTATTAGTATGCTTATCTTTTCAGTTTATTTATTGAATACAAGCATTTTAATCAATAAATACCGTTAAACATTCTTATTTTATAACTTCCTATTCCGCTTTTCCGCGCAAATTGTGCTCCATGTAATACAAGGCAACCAAATGAACGGAACAGATCGACGGAAATCTAGTAAATTTTGTCTTCCGCGCTTCCGCGTTTCCGCGTTTCCACGCTCCATGTAATGGCACCCTGAGGCTTGGCGTTCCGATGTGCAAGCCGGTGGTACCTCGAGCAGCGGCGTCGTGGTCTCCGCCCTGCCCGTACCCGCCTGTGCGGGTTCCGTCATGTTGAGCTGTCCCTGAGCTGCGCACGATGAAACACCTGAGAAATGTCGAGACACGTGTAAGAAATGCTGCACGAACCGAGAACGTTCGAGAGACGCGTGAGAAAAACACTATGCGAATCGAGAATCGTTAGGGTCATGTATTGAGCACGTGAAAATGTCTATTTACACTCGCGGGAGCGCGTGAACATGTTTGTGTAACACTCGCGAGCGCGCGTGAGAATGTCTGTACTTCACTCGCGGAAGCGCGCGATAATGTCCACGTGGCATGTCGTGAAAGGCATGCCCTGTTCACATGATCTGTGTCCGAGCTACACTTTAAGTTCCACGCATCCGGCTCGAAGGACCAAATGTTCGCGAAATCGCTGATTAATCCCGGCGATGGAAGCGGGATGAGAAGGACGCGCGTGGAAGGTGTTAATTAATTATTTTGTAATATGTAACTCAGAACACAGTCTGAGCCGTCTTTAATACGAGAATAGATATATACAGTCTGACCTGAGAGTGGTGGGCAGTCTTTCGCAGTTCACTAAACCTAAGAAGTCTTTGTATAAGAAGTCTTTGTATATCGCTCGTGAGTGGGCGAGGCAGTTATATTAATTGCCCTCCTTGTGATGATTAGCCCGTGAGCCGGTAAGACACGTGGCGGTCGGCACTC